AGGTGGTTCTTGGACCTTCGGTATTCGGTCTCCGTCGTTGGCGAAGGGAATGGGTCGAGCTGTCTAGATCTGCTGCCGCAGACCGTCACGCGTGGAGAGGTACTGTTCGGGACATCATCGAGGCCGGCTAGATCAGGCATGACCGCAGCCGTATCAAGTACAAGTAAGTCTACAAGAGAAGCTGGATTTTGCTTGATTTCACCGATGGGGACGTCATAGGAACAAACGTTTTCATAAGGTGACATGCCACGAGACCGGTCGGTGCCTAATAAATTTAAATAGAACTGACAGGTGAGATCGTGAACGTGCCATTTTGAGTTAACAGAGATGAATATTCTTCCGTTAAATTAATTTACACTTCTCTTTCGTTTTAGATAACGTTGAGTTTCAAATCGGCCTCGAAATGTTGCTGAATACTTAGTGATTTTCAGTGTTTTCACCCGATCGTCCATAAAGGCAGATTCTGAATTGTCTGTCTGTTGAGAAGGCATTTAGCGAATTAGTGAGTGTTCGGGCGCTCCTTTTCACGAAGATGGTCGTTTGGGTCACATTCGAAGACTTATTCAAACATAAAACTTCATTTTCGAGAAAAATGTCTGTCCACAACGAAAGTCAGCAACGAATATGCCTTTGATCAATGAAAAAACTTTCGGTAGTAAATTACCTCTTTAAGAAGTGCTTTATTACTGCACTCCGTTGATGGAATTGATAAAACCTCTGGTTTTCTTAAAATAACCTTTGTGTTAGCAGGTGGATCAACATGGCTATGATCGAATTTAAAATAAAATTTATAGTCCGGCTAAACCTGTTTATTAAAACTCTCATGGGCAAATTAATATCCTTTCAATGAAAAAGCCGCTCAGATGCGTAACCGGAGTCTAAGACACGTATTAGTATAGGAAATTACACGAATGTCATCCAACGTCCATTTTCGCTAAAATTTACAGATATTTTACTTGATATAATTACGTAAACACAATTTCTGCACAAGAAAAGGACATTTTGTTGAAGGATATGGAAGAACGAACAAAATGCTCAACGTTAAAGGCGTCCAGAAATTCCCTCATCAGTTTCCATTTTCAGATTTCCTGAGATAGGTCACGTACTGTAATATGTTTAAGATTACGCCGATCACCGATTGGCCCGTCAGCATGTGACGTTATGTAAATTTTTGTTCTTAAGACGCCTCCATCGGCGAAGCCAAGCAAAATCTAGTTTCTCCTGTTGAACCGCATCTCAATCAGCCCAAGTAAGTCAAAAATACCGCGAAATCTCCGCAAACTGTTTTGGAATCTATACTCCGACTGAAGGCTGTTGACAAACCGTCATACATGAGATTACACTAACTCTTACACGATACTTAGATGTGGACTTCACAGAAAAAAACACTCTGTTTAATCGTTATGTTATTTGTACATTGATATTTACTCCGTTTTGATGGATAAGAAGACACTCTTTACGTCTAAAAACGAAACTTACTAAATTACTGCCATTTTTGACGTTTCCGGGATTTTGTGCTTTTCTAAAAAATGGGCAGACTGAGGTACACGGCGAATCAGTTGTCAGCGATAAATTGCCTGTGAATTGATTGCAAATCTGTAGTCATGTATTACGTCAAAACGCATGTTGCTCTCATTGCATTAAGGTTAAGTGCGTAGTATTCACAGACCGAGAGTCAACCACGAACAGTTTCACGCCAGTCTAGGTACATCGCTTAGCAGTAAAAAGTACTCATCTGGTGCGGACGAAGGCGGATGCGCGGGGTTTCGTATGTCCATGCGAAAAAACCAGCAAATAAAATGGCTCAGGTAGAATAACTTGAATGACAGTTCTTTGAGTAAAGTACGCAAATAAATATTCAAAGGGCATGTGTACGTAAACTATGGCATTTGGCCAACACGACTATACCTCCTACACTGGAGACCAGTCAGTCTTAGTCCTGAGACCAATCCTATCCTCAAAAAGCACAACCTATCAGAAGTTCCTGTAAACACGGCATACTGACAGGATAGTGCGTATATTGCAGCCAACATTCAGGAGATATCTTTAGGGACCAGGGTTTGTCCAGTACTAAC